GCATGGAAACGACATCCACACGGTCTTAACATTCTAGATGAGGTGGTCTGGTGGTTATTAAGTGGGAGGAGCATGTTACCAGCATTCAATGATGTTCGAGGAGTATTCATAGCCAAAGGAGATGAGGAGCAGGATTCACATATGATCGTTCGGAACGCTGAAGCTACACGGCCTCTAGGACTAAAACAATCGTCGAACAAGCTGGTCACGGGCGTCGTTTTCGAGAGTTTATCCCGTCGACTGGGTGATAAAGTCCATTACTCTCAAAGGGGATTCGTCGGAGGGAGGAATTTTGGTCTTAATATTCTCGAGCTCGACGTGCGAGCCCGAATGGTTTCGATGCTCCCCGACGCCGCTGCTCGGCTTCCAGCCTTGATATCTTTCGATTATGGACAGGCCTTCCCGTCGGTCGCGCACCGATGGATCATGATGACGCTTGCTGCCTTCCATGTGCCGCTGCCCATGCAGATCTTCGTAGAGACGTTGTACACGAGCGTTCGCTGCTTTGGCACTTTCGGCAGAGTGTGCTGTTTCCTGTTTTACATCATGTCGGGGATCATTCAAGGATGCCCAGGGTCTGGCGCCCTCTTCGCCGTCGGGAGCCACCCCTTTCTCGTGGATATGTGGAAACGGCTGGAAGCTCAGAATGATGCGCCACCTGGCGAGCTGCGAGAAGATCTCACAGGTCGAGCTCGAGAACGCCAGATGAGTATGGCAAGGGCTTGTGCTGATGATATTGGATCTGTGGTTTCAGCGCTTCGTGATCTTCTTCAACTGAAGGCCGTATTCGACTGCAGTGAGGCCCTTGCGTGTCTCAAGCTCAAGTATGCCAAGTGTTTCCTGGTTCCTCTTGCGGGCCCCTTCTCGGCCACCCTCGTCGCCAAGTATCGATTCTGGCTTCAGAACTTTCTCCCCGACTGGGGAGCGTTCCAGGTTGTGAGTTCCCTGACCTATCTTGGCATGATTCTTGGGCCCAGCGTGACCACTGAGAGCTGGCACAAGCCCCTTTTGAAATGGGCAGGACGTACAGTGCAGATTGCCAAAGTTGGCGCCCCGCCGGCCATCACTGAGTATATGTACTCTAGCCGTGCCGTCTCAACCCTCACCTATGTCGCCCAATTCTGTCCCATCCCTGAGCTTTGCCCTGCCCTTCCCGCCCCTCTCTCTCGTGTTGAGCATGCCTCCTTCGCCTCTCTCTTCAAAGTCCCCCATTGCACGCTTCCACGGAGTGGCTGGTTCTCGCTTCACCTGTGGGGAGGACCGCAACTCACGAGCGTGAGGTCCTTGAGCTGTGCCACGCTAATGAGAGCTGCTGTCAACACATTCCCTGAATATCGAATGCTCTTGGACCAGCTGTCTGAGTTTGCATCTCGCCATCTCGAGATCGTTGATCTCTCGGCTGGGAAGCTGTCCCCGCGCTTCTGGCAATCACCGGCGTTTGTAGAGCATCTCTCGGATGCGGCAGGTGGCTTCTCTCGCTCTCGGGACCTGGCTCGAGCTGGATCGATCGCCCGTGCTGCTGCGCTGGAGCTCTTGACTTCTGCCTCCGCCCTCCCTCGCCCCCCTAAGAATGTGAAGATGCAAGGTAGACTGCTGAAGATTTTCCAACGAGAACTCTTCCCTGATTCCCTGGACGTTCTTTTCTCGGAGCGTTGGGCCCGTTGGTTTCCTGAGGCCGCGGAGGTCCTTGTGCACGTGAAATGGGAAGAGGTCCGCGAGCTTCTCATTCAAATGAGAGGCCCTTTAGTGAATGCGATATGGAAGACTCTCTCAGGTAGTTGGATCACCGCCGTGCGGTTTCACGACAGTGAACCCTTATGCTGTCTCCTGGGCTGCGGCGGCCCTGACAGCTTTGTCCATTATTGGTGCTGCCCACGCTTCATCCAGCTTCTCGAATCTGTTCTGTGCTCCCAAGTTCATTACTGTCCGATCTGTCGCTCTGGTGTTTTTCTCCCGACCATCTCTAGTCTTACCGTCCCCGCTGCTGCCTATCTCCTGTTTGTGAATCTCCGCTCGCTCTTCATGCCACCTGATCCTCTTACTTTAGAGGTGGCACAGTCTGCTGTACCCCTCACGAGGGTCCAGCTCACGCGGGCGAGGGCGCGCGGCGGCCAGCGCGGATGAGGGACACGTGGCGCGCAGCTACGTGCGAGGAGGAGGAGGAGGAGGAGGAGGAGGAGCGGTCGGAGGGCGAGACGTCACACACGGAGGAACATGCGGTGAAAGGAGGGGGGGCAGCCCCCTTTCTTCCACCTTCCCCCCTGTCGTGACTTCTCCTATGACTTGGGCGACCTCCCGTGGGTGTGCCGCGAAGGCCTTTTACCTAACAGCGAAGACTGATAGGCTTCTAGTGGGCTCAAAAGAGAGCATCTTGACTCCCCAGGGGGGTCTGGGCGGATGCCGGGGGAATCCGGGGACTCCCCAGGATTTTTAAAGATTCTTATTGTTTCCGATGGATTCCTACAGATTCTGTTCCCAGAACACCATTCCCAGGCCACATTTTGAACGCCCGGAGCCAACTGTAGGCCACTTCGTGTTCTTCGTGTTCCCAGAACACCATTCCCAGGCCACATTTTGAATGCCCGGAGCCAGCTGTAGGCCACTTCGTGTTCTTCGTGCTCCCAGAACACCATTCCCAGGCCACATTTTGAATGCCCGGAGCCAGCTGTAGGCCACTTCGTGTTTTTCGTGTTCCCCAGAACACCATTCCTGTACCATATTTTGAATGCCCGGAGCCAACTGTAGGCCACTTCGTGATCTTCGTGTTCCCAGAACATCAGTCCTGTGCCATATTTTGAATTTTGAGGCTGATGCCTGCTGAGGCAGGAGGCTGAAGGCTGCAAGGCTTGAGGCAGGCTGAGGGCTGAGGCCAGGCTGAGGCTGAGGCAGGCTGAGGCTGAGGAGGCTGAGGCTGAGGCTGAGGCTGGCTGAGGCTGAGGCTGATGCAGGCTGAGGCTGAGAGGCTGACGCTGAGGCTGAGGCTGAGGCTGAGGCTGAGGCGAGGCAGGCTGAGGCTGAGGCTGAGGCAAGCCGAGGCAGGCTGAGGCTGAGGCTGAAGCTGAGGCAGGCTGAGGCTGAGGCTGAGGCTGAGGCTGAGGCTGAGGCAGGCTGAGGCTGAGGCCGAGGCTGAAGGCAGACTGAGGCTGAGGCTGCAGGCTGAGGCTGAGGCTGAGGCTGAGGCTGAGGCAGGCTGAGGCTGAGGCTGAGGCAGGCTGAGGCTGAGGCAGGCTGAGGCTGAGGCCGAGGCAGGCTCAGGCCGAGACAGGCTGAGGCTGAGACTGAGGCTGAGGCTGAGGATGAGGCCGAGGCAGGCCGAAGCTGAGACAAGGTGAGGCTGAATGGGGGGGGGAAGGGGGGGGAGGAGGGGAGGCTGAGGCAGGCTGAGGCCGAGGCAGGCTGAGGCCGAGGCAGGCTGAGGCTGAGGCTGAGGCAAGCCGAGGCAGGCTGAGGCTGAGGCTGAGGCTGAGGCTGAGGCTGAGGCAGGCTGAGGCTGAGGCTGAGGCTGGCTGAGGCTGAGGCTGAGGCCGAGGCTGAGGCTGAGGCTGACGCAGGCTGAGGCCGAGGCAGGCTGAGGCTGAGGCTGAGGCAGGCTGAGGCTGAGGCCGAGGCAGGCTGAGGCTGAGGCTGAGGCAAGCCGAGGCAGGCTGAGGCTGAGGCTGAAACTGAGGCAGGCTGAGGCACCGTAGGAATCCATAGGAATCCTTAGGAATCCCTAGGAATCCTTGTGAATCCGTAGGCATTCTTAGGAATCCGTAGGCATAGTTAAGCATCCTCAGGAATACTTAGGAATCCTTAGGATTCCCCAGGAATCCTTAGAAATCCCCAGGAATCCCTCGGAATCAGGATTCCTAAGGATTCCTAAGGTTTTCCTAAGGATTCCTATTGATTCCTAAGGATGCTTAAGGATGCCTTAGGAATCCCTAGGAATCCTTAGGATCCCACTGGATCCTAAGGCCGTTGCCACTGTGACTGTCATTGCGAATGCGACTGCGACTGCGAGAACAGCAGAATTCTACAACTGGATTATCACCTGAATCTTAAGGGGAATGCTTCCAGATATGCTTATACACATCGCTGTTAGGTTGCTTTGCCGGGGTATTTTTTATGGTGTACTCCTGAGTATCTTGGCAGCGAAGAGGCGCAGCGAAACCAGGAGTCGACCGTGAAGGCGTGTGCTTCCTTGTGAGATCGTGGAGCCTTCGAGGGATTCGTTGAAGGACGCTGGGGCTCTCTTGGGGCCCGCTTTGGGGGCTCTGGGGTCCTCCCGGGGTCACCTTGGAGACAGGAATCAAAAACGGGGCGGCGTCACTGAGCGTCCCGCCTCTTGGGGCCTCTTGGGGCTCTCTTGCGGCGCTCTTCGCGGACGCCCAGGTGGGCGCCGTTGGGCCTCCTTGGAGCAATCCTGCGACTGATAAGGGGGTCCTCAATTCGGTTCGCCCTGTCGGAGGCCGAAGAATCGTCTTCGGAGGCCCTCCCAGGACGCTCTTGGATTGCTACTGGATGCGTTTGGGCCGTCTTGGGCAGGCTCGGATTATTGTTGTATTATTTGAGCGATCTGGGGGCGTACTGCTGCATCACAAGCCCGCCGGATGCGAAACAGCGAGAAACTCAAGACCATCCGTTTTGTAGATTTATTTGAAGGATGCGGGCCTCGGAGGGGCATCGTGAGGAAGACTCGAAGTCATTTTGGAGCCGTCTCGCATAGCGTCTGGAACGCGTGCTTGTCGTCATGGTGGTTCAACTCGATTGGGCCATCTTGGAGGCCTTCTTGAGCTACCTGGTGCCGTATTGGAGCCATCGCCCTGCTTGAGCCATCTTGGAGGCTATCGTGCAGGGGATGGAGGCTGGATTTGGAGGCCCTGTGGGCTCAGAAAAGCCTTGGTAAGCTCAGACTTGCCCCCGTCAAGCGAGACTTTGGACTGGGAGGGGGACCAGAAGGAGGGGGACCAGGGGACAGCCAATCATCTCGCACGCCTTCTCACCCCAGGCAGGCGGGAGTCGACGGATTAGCTGATGCTGGCTATACGCTGCAAAAGCGATGATGTATGGCTGCTCTCGCTTCTGCTTGCAAGGTAAGATGCAGCGTGTGTGCTGGCAGATCTGATGGCACAGGCAGTTTATGTCCAAGCCGAATTTCATTGCTCGTTGATGTGCTGCCGCAGCGTGTTTTTCTCTGATTGCGTCGGTCTTCTCGTTGGTGCCTCCTGCTGCCATTTTTCCTCATCATCTTGCCGCCTCACCAGGCTCCCCCTCATCATCTCTCCGTATTTGCTTTGTGTCTCCCTGTCTCTTCTCCCTCAACCCCCGCATGAAGCAGTATCAATTTGTATCACACGCACCCTACGAAACTGTACCAGAGCCGAAGGCAGCCGTGCAGCGCAGCCCCACTGCAGAGTCATGCGCCGTGCGATGGCACTGATCGCGGGGGCGTTCGCTCTCGTCGCCGCATGTGACGCGCTGTCGCCGGGGCGAGGGCGGGGCGACCTGGAGGGGCTCGGCGGTGAGCTCGGCGGCGGCGACGGCGCGGACTTCGGCGTCACGAGGGGCGGCATCCCCACCTGGGCCGGCGAGGACGTGGCGGAGGCCGAGGCGGCGGCGGTGCGCGCCAGGGAGGAGGCTGCGAGGATCGTCGCGCAGGAGGGTGCCGACGCCCGCATGTCCGCCCGCCAGATGGACGCCATCAAGCGCCGCGCGGAGTCCCAGTTCCAGCAGGAGGAGCGCGAGGAGGGCCTGCTCACCAACGTGGTCGACAAGATGGACCGCGAGGTCGACCAGGCGGACAGCGAGGTGAAAGACCTCGAGCGGAAGCTTGGGCAGCTGGAGGGCGCCGTGAGGCGCGGCCGCCTCGACAGCAGGAAGGATGCCGGCGGCGCCGGCGGCGTCGCCGAGTGGACCGTGGCCCCGGAGGACGAGCAAGAGCCGGGCGGCACGTGGTACGACGAGAAGGTTGACCCGGCTGTCAGGCGCCAGCAGCGGGCGCTGGCACGCGAGGAGAAGGCGTTCGGCCAGGAGCAGAGCCAGGAGGCCAAGCTGATGGTGCACGCGCGCGGGTTGGTGGACCGGTCCAAGGCGAGCCGCCCCCCCCTTATGATCCTCCCTGCCTCCTCTCGCTCGCTCCCCACTCGTCCACTCGTCCCACTCCTCCCTCCACACGGCCCGCTCCCGGCATGGCTCGCATGAGCGCGCCCCTAGCTCTGTGGAGGGTTGGGGCGCGCTGGGATCGCAGCGCGCGCGAAGCGCGTGTCGTGGTTCTCAGTTAGAGACATCGTCAGAGTGAGGGGGCCGAACGGTCCTGCACCACCCCTGGATGTCACCCGACCCCCTCCCTGCATGTCTCGCCTGCTCGCTTTCAACCCTCCCCCTCCTCCCCCTCTCGTCCTCCGCCCTCCGCCTGCTCCTTCCGCGCCGCTCCCCCTGCCCCTCCCCCCCCCTTGCTCATCCTGCCCCCGTCCTGCACCCGTCTCCCCCTCCCCGTCCTGCCACGCTGTCCTGCCGAGGCCCGGTGGAATTCCCATTGCGATGAGTGGATTCCCGGTTTGACTTGTCATTATCTGGCCGAGATGGGTTGCTACCGGGTGCTCTGTCTAGAAATTGCATGGGAAGTAGGTTAAGAGTTTCGTGGAGGTGTTTTCAGAAGTGTTTTGAAGGCTTCTGAACATCCTTACATATTAGAAGCTTGTCAGAGGCTTCTGAAAGGCTTCCTGCCTTCAATGTTTCTGGAAGCTTCCTTGAGGCTTGTGGGTGGGTTGAAAAAATAGGTAATGGGAGAGAGACTTCTGGGTGGGCTCTACGTGGGGTCTGGCTCCCGAGAGGCGACTCAAAGGCTCTTCAGATGTTTTTTGGAGGCTCATATGAGAGACATATGATAGGTTCGTCGTTGAGTGGGTTACCGGAGGGTTATGGGAGGCTTCTGAAGATGTTCTTGACAAGCTTCTTGGAGGCTTAGAGAATCTCAAGCTTGCTTTTGAGAGGCTTTTGAGGGGGTTGTGGGCGCATGGGAGGCTTCAGGGAGGCTTCTTCTGAGAGGTTCTGGGAGGTCTGGGGAGGTTTCTTCACGGGTCCAAGGCGAGAGCCGCATTCTGATAATGGCCCGCCATTCCGGCTGAAAGTTTTTAGGACCAATGCTATGTTTGTCAGCCACGCGCAGAGGGGGGTGGGGGGAGGGGGGAGGGCTTCTTAGAAGCACCCCTGCTTCTTAGAAGGCGCGGGCCTTATCTGTAGATGTAAGGCCGGCACCTTCTAAGAAGCAGCCTCCTTCTTAGAAGCCTTCCCCCTCCCTCCAGCCCCTTGTGCGCGCCGCCATGTTTGTGAAGTCCACCCGCCCTCCGTCCGAGCATGCGCTGGAAAGTTTGAACCTCGTCTGCAAGCGGTGGGGATGTCGTGTGCGAGACGCCCGGCTGCTCTCCCGACTCGCCAGGCTGTGCGACGAGCAGGGGCTGGTTCTCATGAAGAGGGAGCGTGGAGGGGGAGGAGGAGGAGGAGGAGGAGGAGGAGGAGGACGAGGAGGAGGACGAGGACGAGGACGAGGACGAGGACGAGGACGAGGACGAGGACGAGGACGAGGACGAGGACGAAGACGAGGACGACGAGGACGAGGAGGGAGGCGGAGGACGACGAGGAGGAGGAGGAGGAGGACGAGGACGACGAAGACGAGGAGGAGGAGGAGGAGGAGGACGAGGAGGGAGGCGGAGGACGACGAGGAGGAGGAGGAGGAGGAGGAGAAGGAGGACGAGGACGACGAAGACGAGGAGGAGGAGGAGGAGGAGGACGAGGACGAGGACGACGAAGACGAGGAGGAGGAGGAGGAGGAGGAGGAGGAGGGGGATAAGAAAGCCCGCCTGGCCCCGGGCCCCCGCGCCGCCGCGCGGGGTCCCAATGAGGGGGCCGGCCTCCAACGCGCGGCCGCGACGGTGGCGCGCGGGCCACGTCTACGGCAATCTCCGGGTGTACAGTCGGGGCCTTGACCTGAGGAGCCCTGAGTAAGGAACGACGAGGCCCCTTTTCTCCACAAGTTGAACTTCGATTTCATGTCGAAAGCCTGAGGGAAACCTGAGGCAAGCTGCGAAACAGTTCAGGAACGCGGAGCCCCTCCCCAACGAAAAGGGTTCCTTCTTCAGGGCCCCGACTGTACAACTTCACCCACTTGTGTGGCCAGCCGCGGCTGCAACACCATCCACCAGGGAGTGAGCACCCGCGGGAAGGATAATTGACCACGGCAGCAATATCAACCACCAATTGCTGTTGAACTACAAGGCTACAGACTTACCCCTAGGATGCCGAGACCATACTTTTTGGTCGCGGCCGCGAGACAAGGGTCAGGCGGCAAAAGCAAAGTCCGGGGCACGAACGAGGCTAAGCCGAGACCATACACGCATGGAGGAATATGGGCGCGAACAGGCGCTGCCCAAAATCGACTGGAACACGCCGTCTGGCATTGTATACAGCCTCGATCCGACGACATCATGCTCATTGCGACGACCACCCTCGAGAGAGAGCGTCCAAGCACGATCTTCGCAATTGGCAACCCAAGTGCGAAGAAGAGCTGCGTAACAGGCAGCTCAGGTACGAGAATGGGCTGCGCAACAGGCAGCCCCAGGTCAAGCACCACCATGACACCACCATGACCGGCACCAAGGGCGACACCACCGAGCAGCCCGTATAGGTCACTAAGTACGTCGTCGTAGAGGTACCGGTTGACAACGGCCGCGCCGCCCACGACGAGCACGACTACGGCCGATCCGCTTACGACGAGTACGACCACGACAACTTTTTCGATAGCGACCTGCAATCCTACGACCCCCAGGACTACGCCGGCTTCCAGGACTATGACGGGCAGGAGGGCTGCGACATCCGCCAGGGCTACAGGAACAAGCAGGACGTGGAGCACTACGACTTGGAAGCCGGCGACTCCGATCTGGGCCTTGGAGGCTACGAAGAGAACGTGCCCCTACGGGCGCCTCAACCCGAGCTGTTACAGCCAACAGCAGAGCCACCAGGGCCACCAGACGAACTTCGGGGACTACAAAATTGAATTCCGAGGAGCACACGCACAGCTATGAGAGCCACCAGCAGAGCTGCAGGACCCACTTGCCGAGCTTCGAGAGCCACCAGCAGAGCCACGACGAGGACCGCGAGCTCAAGTACGCAAGCCACAGGCAGGACTGCGAGATCTGCCCGCTGAATCACAAGAACCATCTGCTGCGCTAGGATGGCAACCAGCTGAACTACGAGGACCACCAGCTGTGCTACGACGAGGACGACAAGCAGAGTTACTACGGCCACCGGCAGACCCTCCAGGGTCAACAGCGGACTTTGAAAGCCCACGAGCTCAGCTATGAGGATCACAGGCGCAGCTACTGCAGCCACCTGGAGAGCTTCAAGGGCCCCCAGCAGACCTTCGAGGATCACAAACTGAGCTACGAGGCCCAGAGGCACAGCTACGAGAGCAGCTGGCAGAGACACGAGGACTGCGAGCTGAGCTCCGAGGACCATAGGCACAGCTACGAGAGCTACGACGGCCACCTGCTGAGCTACGAGAGTCACAACCAGAGCTACGCGGATTACGTGAGGGGGGGGGGCCACAGCATCTTGCAGGGCGACTAGGGCGACGAGCTGCATTGCAAGGACTGGAAGCAGAATTCAGAAAGCCACCAGCTCAGCTACAAAGGAGCACCTGCGGAGCTACGAGGACCACAACTTGAGCCACGCGGGCCACAGGCAGAACTACGAGAGCCTTCCACAGAGCTACCAGGGCGACGCGCAGACGTTCGAGGACAATCAGCTGAGCTACGGCGCCCAGAGGCACAGCAGCTACGAGAGCCACAGGCGGAGCCACGAAGACTGCGAGCTACGAGCGCCCACAGGAACAGCTACAAGAGCTACGACGGGCATCTGCTGAGCTACGAGAGCCACAACCAGAGCTACGCGGATTACAGGAAGAGCTACTAGGGCCTGCGGAGCGACTAGGGCGACAAGCTGAACTGCAAGGACCCGAACCAGAGCTCCGATAGCCACTGGCTCAGCTACACTGGCCACCTACGGAGCTACGAGAACCAGAACTTGAACTACGCGGACCACAGGCAGAACGGCGAGAGCCCCTCGCATAGTTAAACTGCAAGGGCCACGAGCATACCTCCGAGGGCTACCAGCACAGCTACGAGGACCACTTGCTGAGCCACCTGGCCAACAAGCTGAGCAACGACCGCCGCGAGCAGATCCATCGACGGAGCTACGAGGACCATCTGAGGAGCGACGAGGGCATCCGCCTGAGCTGCGAGAACCACCGGCAAAACTAGCCGGACAATAAGAAGAAATAGAAGTCCCTGAACATGTGTTCTCGTCGCGGCGCGGCAGAGGCAATCCGCTTGTGCGAGTAGCAACACCGGGCTACGGAGTCGCGAATGAAGTTCCTGAGCGCCCAGTATTACGACAAGGGGCGCCAGCCGGAGTAATGGGGCTTAGAAGCCAGAAGTGCCACAATGGCTTCGAGGGTATTCTGGGAGCGTGGGATGCCACCACAGAGCGCTGGGCACGCAGATCGGGATCGATGGCCATCAGCGTTCTGATACCAATTTCGAGCCCAGCGGCAAGTACCCCAAGAAGCGGCTCGCCGTCATGTGCCAAGAGACGTTTCGAGCCTTCCAAGATGACGGTCCGATGGAAAAAAATATTTCTTCGAGCGTTTATACGACCTCTCAGCCTCTGAAGGCCAGCCAGGGGTGGCCAAATTCTTCCCCGACGTGTTCCACGACGAAGGCCTGTTCGACGTAGTTCACGATCGAATGGCGCAACAGCGGCTGGGAGACCTCCCTACCAGAAGCCGCTGATCATGACGCTCCAGCATACCATGCTCCTTCACGCCGATAGTATTCGCTCTACAGTATTGCGGGCAAGCGTACCCCATGTACGTGCTACGTCTACAGCGCTACAGACAACATAATATTCCGTGTGCACCTCTCGGCCAAGGTACTACATCTGCTACGGTTGAATGGCCCCGCCGCTGTAAGCCCCCTCCCCCTTCCCTCGCTGGCCTCAGAGGATGATTTTGCAAGGCGGTCTCCCTCCACCCCCCCTCTTCTGAACCGACCGTCGCCGGCGCGCGGCGGCACCGCCGCGGCATGGTCCCCGCGCCGGCGCGTGGGGCGGCGCCGCGGCGGAGTGGGAACCGCGCCCAGAAGGAGAAGGAGGAGGAGAGGGAGGAGGAGAAGGAGGAGAAGGAAGAGGAGGGTACGAGACAATGCAAAGGACAAGGGCGAGGAGGAGGGGGAGGAGGAGGAAGAGGAGGAGGAGGAGGAGGAGGAGGAGGAGGAACAAGAGGAGGAGGAGGAACAAGAGGAGGAGGAGGAGGAGGAGGAGGAGGAGGAGGAGGAGGAGGAGGAGGAGGAGGAGGAGGAGGAGTCCCTTCATCCCTGCCCAGCCCCCCGCATCCCCCCCTTCCGCTTTCCCCACCGCTCTCTTGGGACTCTCTCTTGAGGGCTTCGCGGCCCATTTCGCACCCGCGCCGAAACAACCTCGGGATCGTAATAGGCTCCACGGACGGTCCCAGGAGAAACCCGAGATGAGTCAAAATGCAGGCACGCGAGCCCCCTTGCGCGAATTGGATCTGACTCTTCTCGGGGCTCTCGTCGGACTCTCGTGAGAGGTTCTTTCGCCTCCTCGCGCTGGCCCCGAGGCCCCCTTCGGGACCCGGAGACGGCGGAGGAGGACCCCGAGAGCAGTCACAGCCATATCGCGCCAGAGCCTTCTGGCGTGACTGCCGGGGCTCCCTCGGCACGGGGCTCTCCTGGGGCCCCCTCGCGCTGCCTTTGGGGCCCCCTCCGGGGCCTCGGCCACGAGCGGCCCCAGGAGGGCCCCGGGATGGGGGCCCGAGCCAAGCCACGCGGGAGCCTCCTTGCGGGACCTGACTGTGATTCCTCTCGGGGTCTCTCGGGGCTCTCGGCAGCTTCTTGAATCAGGCAGACTGCCCGCTCGAGGTTCGGCAGTACATGGGGCCTGGGCCAGCGAGCTCGCACGATGACGGAGGAAGGGGCCTTCGACGTGGATCAAGGAGGGCTGGCTTTCGAACACGTTCGATTCCAGGGCGATGGGGCTCACTCTGTGCCTCCTCTCGGGGCTCTCGGGGGGGGGAGGGAGGCGGCTTCTCGGGTCCCCTCCCCGCGCCTACCCAGGAGCTCCCTCGGGACCCCACGGGAGCCCGCGAGGCGGCCCCTGGAAGGCCACGGAAGGAGCCTCAGTCAAGTAAGTCGCGCAGGACGGCTTCGCGCGGTGGCTTGAGCTGGGCTCCTCTCGGGGCCCTTTGTCGGACCCTCTCACTGAAGGGGGTCCTCTGGGCCCTCTCGCGCCCGCCCCGAGACCCCCGCGGGGCCTCAGGAGGCTGCCGGAGAGAGAGGCCCCGATGGGGAGGGCCCCGCGAGGAGCCCCGCGGAGGCCGCGCGACGCTCCTCCCCCCCCTGCCTCCCCCCCCCCCCCCAGGCCCAGGAGAGGATGTACCTGCAGCGGCG